TTTTTAACGGCTAGAAAAAGAGAGATGGAATTTTTTGTATTTTCTAATTAAAAATCCCAAAAATCATGAGTTTAAATTTTTAATTCGTTTTTTTTCGATATCTCCCGATCCGCGCGTTTTTGCGCGAGGCGCACGGGGAGCAAAGTTCGACCTCTCGTCGAGGAGACCGTTTTGAGATGTTTTTTAAAAAAAAATTAATGGCTAGAAAAGGAGATATGGAATTTTTTGTATCTTTCTAATTAAAATTCTGAAAATCATGAATTTCCTTACGAAGAAAAGAAGCGAAATTAGGTGAACCCCGCCCGGACCAAAGTTGATCCTTGTAGTTTTCCCGACATTTTGAGACCTTAATCGGGGAAAACGGACTCCGTTTGGACGAGTGGTGACCGCCAACAGACAGGAAAAGAGGGAAAAATTAAGAGGAATTAGTGATTTTCTTTGTATTTTTATAAAAATAAAAGGGAAACAGAAGTCGGCAAAAGTGATGCGTTGGAACCCGGCTTTTAACTGACTACAAACCGACGGAAAATTTTCTGCCACGAGAAGTCAGATGTGGTGGCGTGCGGTCGCGCGCAAAACCCCAAAACCCTAATTGGGGGGAAACCCTAATTAGGGTAAACCCTAACCCTAAGTTAGGGAAGAGCGGTGCGTAGCCGGGCGGATACAAGTCTTTCTATCCGACCGGTGATGGGAAAATTTTATATAAATCCAGTTGACCAAATTGAAATTAATCAATATTGGRAATTTTRTTTTATTAAATAATTTAAGTTGTAAATTTGTTTTAAGTAATAATTTGTCATTAAAAATCGATTAAAAATCAAAATAAATATCTAAAATTCTTCAAGAAAGGGGAGTTGGCTTTATTTCGACTTTGTGATTTGGGAGATACTTCGCTTAACCCCATCCCAACGGCGGGAAGTAAAGTGCTGTCGAAATTTCTCGGCAATTTGCTGAATTTTATTGAATTAAATATTAAATAATTAAAGAAAATACTTGAAAATTAGCTAAAGATTGAGATACTTTTTCAGTTCTTAATCTTTCTTGTTAAACATCTTCCGTCGGTATTTTGAGGTCTTCGGCCAAACCCTATCCCAACGGGGGGGAGCCAAAGTGCTGCCGAAATTTCGCAAAATTTTCTAATTTAAATTATTAATTTTTTTATATAAATAAATTGAAAGCGATTAGGAAAATTAATTATAAATACGTTAGAAATTTGTTTCTTTCAGCGACTTTCCTCTTGTTTCATTTGGCTTTAGTTCTAGGTAGGTAGCATTTGTCTAGGGACAATAGTCCCGAACCCCATCCCAACGGGGGGAGGCAAAACGCTGCCGAAATTTTAGTAAATTTCCCAAATTTTATTTCTACCCCTAAAAATCATCAAACTCGGCGGGCTTATATATGTATTGATCCTTAATATATATCAACTAAGAAAGAAATTTTATCTTAACTAAATACAATTTTTTTAATTTATAATTGAAAAATACAAAAGAATTTCCTAGAAGAAGAAGGGGAAGAGACGCTGCGGTAATCTGGTTTCGGGTGAACCTACTAGCTTGTTCCCGAAGGTGTGGGGCAAGCGACGAGAATTTTTCAGTTATTAATCTACACCTCCCTCTTGCTACGTTCTCTCTAGCCGCCAGTTGAATGTGGCCGCGGGTGCAAGTAGAGGTTTATGGGGCAACCATTGACTGGGACTTGGAGCCCCCTGAACTCATAGAGGGGGATCTGGTCGAGCTCACGATACCCGGACGCAGCATTCGACACTTTGACGGTCGGTTTGCGTGGAGGTCCATAATCTTGTCCGAGGACGTGTGGCTTTGGACGTACAGAGAGCACCGGCCGGGGCAAGGAGTGGGCGTAGTGAGAGCCTACTTGTATTTAGGACCGGGTGCGGTCAGGGAGGCCGTGGTGGGCCTCGCGACGACAGGGGCTAGCGGCACAGTTAGCAGGGCGTTACGCTACCTAGGGGAAGAGGTAGCTGCTTTCCGAGCGGAGGACTCGAGCGACCCGTTGACCCTATTTCATGGACGCCCTCCTCTTGATATCACGGGCGAGCTGGTGGTAGCACGGGACGGGTTTTTCCCGTACAGCGTTAGGAGCCTGCGGGCGATAGTTCCGA